ATGTAAGTTCAAACTTAGAGACAAGGAAATAGGAAAGAATAGAAACTTTATATTCAGTATTTCGGTATTTCCTTTTATCATTATTAGTGGAACTAATGCAATAATTTCGTACGATTTAAGTTAATGAATTCATACGCATTTATACGCATCTTTTGCACGCATTAAAAGGTCCAATAAAATGATTGTCGATATACGAAGCAAAATGTTTCAACTTTATCGAGGCCATCTGGTTAATGGTCCATATTAATAACCAATTAACATCGCATTTTCGAGTGAATCAAACGGTTAACGATCAGGAAACAGCCATTACCGTGTTTCTTGGGCAAGGCGGAGGCATCAGATGGACATACTCCAGAAAAACGGCAACGTCATTACGATGAACATTTGCAACCACTTGGAGCGAGCTTGCGGGATATGAAATCGTTGCAGACAAATTTCCTTTCTGTGTTGCAAAACAGTACAACAGCACAGATTAAAGTGAGAATTATGGGATTTAAAAGGCATGAATCGAAAGGCTTAATATTAATCCACCACCGTGGAGGAACTTTATATATAATCTGATCTACCATTTGATTGATTTTACCATTATGCAATCGAGCTAAATCGAATCGAACCAAGAATTACTGACTGTGAGAAAGATTTCAGTCGCATCAGTATTCTTGCGGAAAATGTTTAAAAATTGAAACTCGAGATTAATCTTGGCAGTCACAATTCTACAGGAGAGACCTTCAGTTTCAAAGTCTAAGAAAAGTCTAGTCCAATCTAGTCCGGATCAACTAAGAAATCACCCTCTATATTGTTCTCAAGAAGCATGTCCTCGTGTTCTCCAAGGATATCCATAGAGGCGATAGAATCGATGCGGGGCGATAGCGTCCTAGGAGATTGTAGCCTCGGGGTGCGGTTGTGGTCGCGGCACGCACGGCAGACCCCTCGTGGAACGATGTCGGACCGACATGACTGAAGTGCGCGCGCGTACTCGAGCCGGGGCCCTTCGGCGAGGCGTTGGGCCCCGACACGCCACACATATTAGAAACGAATATAAATATATCGGGAAGCTCAGCAGCAGGGCAGAGTAGTGGGGGCAAGCGAGCGCGTATTGGCGGCGTGCAAGTTACACGCAGCGGCGTAGCAGCTCGAGTTCGAGAACGGGCCCTCATTCCCCCTTCCCTGAAGCGGCTTTCCAGCCGGTAGGATAGCCGCCTTCACCCCGCGCTTCACCGGCTGCCAAGCGGTCCCACAGCACGCTCAGTGTCCGCTCGGCCTCAGCACGTCCGAGTAGGGAGGATGGAAGTATGGCTTCTAGAAGCTTTTTAACGCGTCCGCGGGACTATCACGATACTACTGCCAATTAATCGCCGGCGAGAACCTTCGTCTCGTTGTTCTCGCTGCTTAACGTGCTTCTGCAAATTCTGCCTACGTATTTTGTACAAAGGGGAA